TATTCGACAAATATTCGAAATTTGAATTTTTTTGACAGCCCTAATTGTGACAAAGTCACACTGTGAGATTTTAATTCAAAATAATGACATAAAAGGACAATGCGAGATATTAAGTAGCAATTATGATCTATAAAATGTCACATTGTAAGACATTAAGTCAGAATTATTGCATATTAAGTCACATTGTGAGATACTAATCCCAAGAAATAGTCTAAATTTTGACAGTCACAATCCCAATAAATAAAGTTGATATTGTGACATATAAAGTCACAATCACAAGAAATAGTCACAATTATGACGATCACATTGTAAGATATAAAGTCATAATTATGACACAGTCACACTATCAATTGACATATAAAGTCATATTTCTAGATATTAATCACAATACTTTGTTTTTGCAGTTGTGACAGTCACAATCACAAGAAATACGGTTGCTATTGTGACAAAGTCACAATCAAAAGAATCACATTGTGAGATTTAAAGTCACAGTTATGACATATAAAGTCACATTATGAGATATTAAAGGTACAATAGGAGATCTTGGAAAATGCTAACTTTAGCCTGCTAGCACTGAAAGTGAACGTCCCACCCTCCCTGCAATCGCCGTCCAAAGCCACGCCCCCTGAACGCATTTACACTCACAGACCAGAGACAACATTACTACGATAGGCTACATCAGGTTCCCAATTCCAGCCCATGTTCTGAAGTGAAGTAAACTTCAACGGATTTCCACTGCTCAGGGAGTAGGGAGCAATGAACACTGTGTAGGGATCATATCGATCGGAACACAGTTCATGCACGTAGCTCACTTCTAACGAGCTGGCGCGAGGACTAGAGTAACCGCTGGGCTACATCATGTGTCATTCACCGGTGAGAAATATTTAAAAGTACTACAATACCAGGAAGGAAGATCGGGTTGTTGATGTTTGTCTGCCATTCTCGCGCGGTCTGCACAGCGTGCGTGAACGCGCTGATGACGTATCCTGTCTGCGCGAACCGGGTGCGCAGAGGTATGCTTATACATACGTTGACAGGCAGGTAGGAAAGCATATTGAAAAGCTCGGACCGAGCGTTTTGATTGGACAAACATTTCTTGATCCTATGCCTTCCACAGAATATATAAATACAGACAAATACATTTAGACCACTTAACTTAATAATTGCTATCGGGATGTGAAGAGACTTTCAACCAGCATAACAAAAATTGTTTCTGAAGACAATCACCTATTGCACCTTTAAGTCACAATTGTGACAAAGCCACACAGTGTGAGATATTAAGTTATAAGATATAGTCGCAATCATGAGAAATTTAGTAACAATTATAACAGTCATATTGAAAGCTTTTGTAGTATTGTATGATATAAAGGCACAATTTCAAGAAATGTATAAAAATTAGGGATGCACCGATATGAACATTTTGACCGATACCGATAATTCTTTATTTTTGAAAGCCGATAACCGATATGTTGGCCGATAAATCTATATCCAAATTTTTATATACTTTTTGAGAGCCTGATTACAAAAAAGGTCTCATCATTAAAAACCACATCCCAAACACTTCAACATAAGCAGCCTAGTTTGAACGGTGTACGTTTTAAAAATAATTTTACTCTCCCATTACCAAATTTAGTCATAAAAAAGTCTTACAAATAAATAAAATATTGCATAAATAATGCAAACAAGTCATTGGACATCATTACACGTGTAAAGAATCAAAATGAATGCACAATAGATCAATAAAACGGAATAGCCTCTGCACGGACAATAATTAAATGACTTTAATTACTAAACCATATTGCTGATGAAAATAATAATAGAAAAATACAAGTGGTTGTTGTTATTAATAATGTATCAATGATTTTGAAAAAGTAACAAATTAATACCACTATTTTAAACAGCAGCCGTTGAGCTGCGCGT